TCCCGTTACAGTTTAGCAGTGGTGTTAATAGTACATATGGGAAATTAAACAGCATTGAAATCTAAAAAACCAACAGGTCAGTAGAATTTCATATTATGGAGAATGAGGAAGATTTTCTTTAAGGAATATCCTTTCTGAAGTAGAGCACATACTCCACTCAAGAGTGATTTCATGGGAGAACAGTAATTTCAGTACAACTTAAACACTGATCCACATTAAAGAACGTAAAAATCCCAAATCATTAAGCCCAGGTTCAGACCCCCCTCTCATGTACCCCTCTGCATGTCAAGAGTACTCTAGCTAACATCACCAGAGGTCGGTAAAGGAGCAACTAACAAAGTCTGCTGTTCCTGAATCTTATTCTAGGTTGCTGAAACTATGTAAGTGGAGAAACACTCATGCTTCAAGAACAGCTATTCCTTTAAGGATAAAAAGCCTGTGTCTTGCCAGCCACTCTAAAAATCACTTCAAAAATCAGCAAACATTGTAAGTGAAAGTAAGTCATACATTTGTTACACTCTTATGCAAGCAAATAATATTCCTCTTATGTGCTTAGAAATAAAGTAGGGATTAGAGTTGTATCTTCTTTAGCTTGATCCACTAGGATCTTGCTCCATTTCATCTAACTAAAGAGCTGTCACAATGCTGTCAAAACTTGCCAATGACTGCCATAGTACATCACAAATTTAAATCATTGCAAAGAAACGTCTTTCAGATCTCAGAATGTAGCAAACTGTGATATACATATGCATGCTAAAATCTGAAGTTCAGACTGTGATCTGATGACCACTTTATACAAATACATAAATATGTATTTAAGCATTAATTTCTGTTGCTTCTGATTACATCTAGATGCAGTACATGTTCTAATCAAAAATCTTCTGTGGTGGGTTACCAGTGACCCTGAATCTAAGACATAGGGGCATAAAATTAATGAGTTATGCCATTATTTTCAGGTAAAAGACCTGAAAAGCTTTCAGATTTTCTAAGGAAAAGTATTAGTTGATCTGACTTATAGTTTACTTAGAAAAGTGAAATTCTGTTTGGAATTGAAAGTGACTCAGCAACAAAATCATATCTACTTTACCTATAGAGCATATGCTTGATTCCTAAATCAGGAAAGTTTTACACTGAGAATTTTATTGGCCTTGTTCTTAAACGTGTCAAGCCATTTGTAATCACTGTAACAGTAGTAATAATACTGTAAGACACTGGGTGCATACAAGTTAATTTTCTTCCTGATTGCTGATCAATGAATTCCTTAATTCCCTGAGCATGGAAATCATCATAACATTTAATCACTAGCAGATGTAAATCATAGACACTTCATACTTCAGGTTGTTATAAACAAATACTGATTTGCAAAACATACAATTCTACAGAGGCATAGATTGGGACATCTAGTCACCTTATTGTGAAAAAAGAGGCTCTCCAATAATTGGTAGTGAATTTTCAATTTTTTTCATTACAATTTTCCTACCAAGTTTTATGAAATGCCATCTTATTTTAGAAAATAAACAAATCATCAATTTGATAGCTGCACACTGTCTTCTGAAATCTACAACAGTGAGAAAATGATTCACACTAGGAGGGGGAGAAATATAATAATCAAGGCTGAGGAATAATTTCAGAGCGTAACTTTGTAACGAGTCCCTGGAGAAAATACCTGTTCCTTTTGTTCCCTTCTGCAAAGCTATGTAATTGATGTCTAACTTCTATGCTAATGTTCCCTGCTTCTGTCAGAATCCCTTTGGAAACACACTGAAGTAACTGGGGTTCTCTCCTGGTGCTACTCCATCAGCAAGAGAATATGGGATTCTCTGACAGACATCGTGCTTCAGGCAATAGGACACAGTGGAAGCTCCAGTGCCGAAGGGCTAATAACTATTAATATAAAAGAATGAAATATACTAACTAATTTTCAGAATGTAGAGCAAACCAGGAAACTGTTACCTTTAATAATGAAAGACTCTTACTGGTACTGTTACGCTGTTTTAATAATAATAATGATAATTAAAAAAAAATAAGCAAATCATATCTGCTATAGTGTGGTTTACTATTCTTATATCAGACAGCAAGATTTTAAAATAATGACAGTTAAGTGCAAAAAAAGAGTTTGGTCCTCATCAGAAGGCAGAGCTCATTTCTCTACCTGACCTTCCTATCCCTTTCACTTTTACACACACACACACGCAGACACACATACAATCACCAATGAAAAAAACAAAGCAGAAGTGATTTGTCCCAGCTCCTGAACCACACATACCACAGTGCCTATTTCAGAGCCATGAATGACAGCTGGTCTGGACAGAACAGTGACCTCAGGCAACTCTCCCAGTTTGCTGAAGAGTCATAATTTGGGAAAGATGTGATTCAGTTTTTACCTGTGCCTAATTAACTTTAATCAATATTATCTTGTGGCACCCTTAGCAACTTGCATAAGCCTGCATGTTTGCTTTCTGATTGTTTTTAGCTTTGTGAAAGCTTTAATTTGAGAAAGGAAGATATCCTGCTCAAAGAAAGTGTCATTATGACATTGAATCAATTTTAGCAGCTACACATCCCAGACACACAATTACTGCAAATGTCTCCTTCTGTACCATGGGTGGCCATCTCAAGTTTTACAGCTGCAAACACCATTGCTCAATTATGTGGACGCCTGACTTTATTACACACTGGGTGGCACTGTGGAAGGCTTTTTGTTCAAAATGTATTTTATGTGAACAGCAACTTCACACAAAATTGCAAAGTTAAAAATCAGGAAAAAAATATCCTGTGTATTTAACACATTTGATTGTAATAGTGGAACACATGGGCTAGCAGGGCGTATGTCTTCCTGCCTATTGTTAGAATGACACAACAGGATAAAAGGTCCTGTTTTAAATAGGTTGTGTGTTCAGTGCTGCCTAGTACAATTTTTTTCATATTGAGTGGCTGCTTCAAAGAAGGCTTTATTTTATGGAAAACTTAGGGTATCTCTGAGAATGTAGCAGAGAAAAGAATAGTATTGTACTGTGTCAGAAGACTGTCATTAGTCCTTGTTTGGAAATTTGGAGTGTGTCTGTATCTTGCACTAGAAAATAAAATTTGGAAGCAAACTGGCTATGTCTGGGATTAAATGCGAAAAAGAAGATGTAGGTATTTTTTTGATGGAAAAAAAAGTCCAAATCAAGGAGAGTTCATCCAGAAAGGAACATTTGATCAATTTGTGCCATTCACTTGATCCTAGAATAAGGATTTCATGTTCACGAGAGTTGACATTGCCCATATAGGCTTGGATTTTCTTTTCCTTGCTCTTGTCAAATAATTACTGCAATTAGTAGTAATAGTAAGGAAAAAAATTGTAAATCTGGCTTGTTGGTCCCACTACTGATTTTGTTTCCTGATCTTTGGGCAGTACAATGAAGAAACACGACTTGAGACTCAGACATAAGGACTGAAAAAAAACACTGGAGATTCAGTTATAGCTTATAGCCTTGAGAAACGTGCATACACAGGTTTGTTTTGTTTTGTTTTGTTTTCAAAGTCCTGAAGCAGATACTCCGTAAGATAAAATCCACACCAGTTGATGACAACAGAGGACTCTTCCAATCAGTGTTTTTTTAGGGCCTTAAATCTCACTGTGCCTCACCTGAAAATTTGGGATTTCAAAAGCAGCTTTCTTCCCAGATGCCATTGTGAAGATAAATTCATCATTTTACTGTGCAATGTCCTCATTAGCCCTCTGAAATTCCCATGGAAACATGTATTGTGTAATGATATATACATGCATCCCACATGGGCCATTTTTGCAGGATACAGAGATTAACACTAGCATTTCTTTGTAATTCACTAGTGCAGTCATCTGTTACACTGGAAAAGTTACCTAAGAGAGCACATATTAACATACAGATAAGAATATTTGCTACACTATGTTGCTGCAAAGGGTCTGTATTTTGAAAGCATTTAAAATATAAAAGAAAGGCAAGTAGTGACAGCACTCCTGAGTTCATGAAGAAGGTTCTCCCTTAGACATGTAATTGCATATTTATCTACTATGCAATTTTGTATTTTCTTCTGAAGCATCTAGTATTGATGTTGTTGGAGACAGAGCATTTGACTAAATTGATCATTAGCCTGATAATTTCCTGGGTTTCTATGTGAGCTGAGGATTCTCTACCATCTGAGCCTGACTAGCACATATAGATACAGCTGAAATGGGGTGAGCACTTAGATCACTGCTGCATCTCATAAACAGTAAGAAAATGTTATATTTAAGTAGAGATGCTAAAAGCAGCCTCCTTTGTGTAAGCAATACAGAGGAAGGATTAATGTAAAAACTTGACATGGTATTTTGCCTTTCTCTATAATGACATCAATAAACATGTTCAACATTGATTTTGCTTCTTATTATAATGGCCTATTAGAAATACAGACATTGAACCAGATAAATGCAGAGATCAGTATACTTGCAGCCAAAAGCATTTAGACTAGAATTATTACTATTTCACCAATACTAACAAGCCTGGTGAAACAGCTATGCATAGAGTTGTGAATACAAGTCGTTAGAAGCATGATGATCCCTGATTTCCTCTTGTGTCATTCTTTACTGGAATTTCGTGAGGCCTATAGTTGAGCAGATACTAGTCAGTATCTCTTTTTTCCTACAAAATGTTAGTACAATCCACATTGAAATTGTGCCTATGACAGAGAAATGACCTTTCATTCTGAAACTGGACAACAAAGTACTTTTTTCAAATGTTTGCAGATGAGTTGTTCTCTATTTTGTGAAGGTTTCATTCCAAGAAATTATCTCAGCTAGGCCAAAGATTTCCAGATTTACTGGTTCTCACTGAATCAGGCTGTATCAGTAAAACTAAATCTTGTGAAGGTGGGACTATTTTACAGATATAGATTCAAGCTAAAATATTTTATATATGTGAATATAAAAAAAAAAAAGATCGGAAAATACAAGCTCAGAAATAAAAATCTGGTAACTTATTTTTGAGGGCAAGCAGTACCTTTCTCTTATCATATAAGGCATGGTTATCCAACATCATCTTCCTTTCATGAGTAGCATACCTCCGCAAATCCCGTCCAAATTGCTGTAAAAAAAAAAAACAACAAACAGAACACATATAACTAATTCCGACAAAAAGAAACTGTCACCTCTCTATAAGGATCCTAACAGCAAACCAAACAATAAACAAACATGGAAAAATTGCCTCTATCGAAAGATAATAATCTGAACAAATGAGTCATCTGAAAAGGCAATGATTGGCAATGATCCATTATTTCAGTTGGCTGGTTCAAGAGTAGTTGGATACTACAAGAGAAAGTAAGGCTATGTACAGAATACTATGGACTCCCACAGCCCCTAGGTGAATTATCTCATCAAGAAGCAGGAGCTGAGCAAGGTAGAGAAAGATGGATTCCTTGCCTACAAAGGGCCTCTCAAACTACATTTTCAGAGCAGACATCCACCTGCAGAATTGAGAAGGGCTTTTAAGCAGGCAGACATCTCCTGGATAAGATGGACCCCAAATTTTGCAGCACTTAATCCAATATCCAACGAAATACATTTTAACTTCTCAAAATAGAAATGTGGCTGAAGTAACTCATCAGCTCAGCAAAAGAACACATCAGTAGCAGTAACTGGCCTCATATAAAACACCCTGCTTCCGATTAACTTAAGTAGAATAGAGTGGCAATTCTTCTAGCACATAAAAAAGCTCATTCAGAGCAGGCTTAGAAGCTCTTGGCAATACCATGTAATATCAGGGGGAAAAACTGTAAATTATATACTAATTCTGTCTGGAGAGAGACTAATTGTTTAAATTTTGAGTTTGCAATTATATAGAATTTATCTTGAAAATATTATGCTATTTTATGTTACACTCAGTACAACAACTACTCATTACAATGTCTATTATGAAAGTAGCTATCATTTGAACTTTTATTTCCATATTAGAATCCTAATGAAAAAAATTTATTTCGGTTCAAAGCTAACAATTTTAAAGTTTTATTATTTTTAACAATACACAAATAAAATAAAAGTGACACAAAAAAGTTTCATTAATCCAAAGAGAAAAGGATCAAACTGTTTTCAATTTTCTATGAAACAAATTAAGTTTCAAATTGGAATGTTATTTCCCCAAATACTAAACGTCCCATAACATCCTTATGATAATTCTGTAACACTTTCCAAATCATCTCTTTATTCAGTAACAATTTAAGCTGCTTGTTAACATTAGTGTGATATAAAAAGTCAATGATGTAAGAGACTGTAAGCCTAGCTCTTCATTTCACAAACCTAAACACTGTGCTTCAAGGAAAGTGCACATTAGCTACAAACATCAGAGTAGTAGAGTTCAACAGCTCCAACCTAAGATCACTGATTTTGAGATGTGGAGAACAGGAATATTTTTTAAAATTCCATGAATTCAGAGTAGTGCTGCAAAAGCAAAAATAGGTTAGCAGTGCTAAGAAAAATAGACTGCTATGATTACTCACCCTGGAGCCAGTCCAGCCTAACAGAGCATATGCATATTGCTCAAAGGGGGTTATGACCAGATCCACACGGATTGCCTTCCAGTCTTTGACTTCTGCCACGTCACATTTTTTTGACATGTTGTAACTGCTGTTGTCTACTCTTGGCTGGTATAATTTTAAAATTGCAAAACACTTCTGAAAATTATCCATGGCATCAACATGCTTGCTTGGGATCTGTTCCTTAACAAATGTTGATTCAATTATATCACAATATAGAAGTAAGCCCTAAAAAGAAGACATTGCTTGCATTAAATTACTGGATTGAAATGACAGACTTTCTAGACAGCTATTAAATTTGTTTGTAAAATGCAATTTCAGTAAACACAGAACTGTGAACAGCCAAGTCTGGACAAGGTTTAGACAATAAACCAAGCATAATTTTGGAAAAATATTAGCTGATTTTTGGAGGGAAATTTAAAGTGCTAGTCATCTGATAGAGACAACATCCTACCCTATACAAAGAAGACAACATTTCTTCCCCTCCTTGCCTTCCCCTTAAGGCTTTTGTGGTTGATGTCAACAGAAATTCTGGAGTTGCTACTGATGCTTTCTCACAAGGCAGACATCTAGTAAAACACAGTAGTGGAGAGAACAATCTTGTTGACAGCTTCCAAACAAAGAATTTGGGCTATCTGTGTGAGATTTCCTTGTGACATGGCCCTGATCACTACTTTTGTTAGAGGGGAGTGAACCATAATAAAATGGTGAACATAAATAGTCAGAATTTATTAAAATATAAACATGATTTAATAATAAAGACAGTTCAGAGTGGGGATAAAAATAGAAGTAATGGAGTGTTGTGAATGAATTTCTTTTAATCCAGCACTGCAGGAAAGGCTAGGCAGAAGAGACACAGTGCCTTCCTCCAGCTCTGTAGCCAGCAACATTTCAAAAGTTCCTGGGTTTGCTGTAAACTTTGCGTTATTCTCTTTAAGGTCCTTAGCAAAAAACATCTTTCTGACATATTTCAGCCCTGTTTCTGTGCATTTTGTTTGCATTTCTAGGCAACTTTCAAGGCTACTGATTTCTTGGGGATTTCAGACTTACCTGTACTCCCAAATGTTTTTAAATCTCTCCGTGTTTAGTCACCCTCAAGTGAAGAACAATCTTCCCTACTCCCTGCAGCCAGAAAACTTCTCACCCGAAGCACACCACCTGGGACATGACAAAGACCGGCCTCCCTCTCTCTGCTACCCAGCACATCATTTTTTAGCAAATACAAAACATCAAATGCACAACAGCAAAGTAATAAAGTAGATATTGACCATAATGCTGCTTCCTTCAGTCATGGTTGGGATTTCAGAATAGAAATGGGGCTTTATATGCAGTAATATAGCAAGGTGCAGTATCACTGACACTATCAGAAGGGCTCAGCTGGCAAAGAGATTCCACTTTCTGAGCGCAGTTCCAACATGATGAAAACACTCAGGTGTGTGCTTGACTCCTGGTACTCAACCTTAATTTAGATTTTATAGATTCATAAAATACAGGAGACCACTGCAATTGTCTGTCTCTGCAACACTACACAAGAATTAGAGACTACTGAGATTTGTCTTTGCAAAGGAAATGTGACTTTGTTATAAAGGTTAGTAACAATGGTGCAGAAACCACTTTCTCCATAGGTTAACTAATTTTTACTTATTATTAAGGAAAACTACTAAGCTGAATTTATTAACCACACTCAAGCTAAATGAGTCTGTTAGCTTTCTCTTCAAGATCAACAGGCCAAAGGGCAATTGTCAGCTGTCTTATCATAGTTGTTTCACAGTTCTTTAAATCTACATCAAACCCACTACTCACAGTTCTGTGGTAAGATAAACAGACTGATTTTTAAAATTTCCATCCTCAGGATTGTTTTATGTCCTTGGATCAAATTTCCTCTCTCCTCTGAAGTCCCATAAATGTGTATATATCCTCCTTCCTCTTCTCTAGGAATTTTTATATTAGTTTCACCACAAAAAAAAAAAAAAAAAAAAAAAAAACACCACACAATCCTGACTTTTAGTTTACATTTCCCTTATTATATGGTGAAGAAGAAAGAATTATATCAGCTTTTGTTATAGGGTTTTTTGTTGTTGTTTTCTTTTCTTTTAAAATCTGCAATATTGAACTGGTCACTTAGAAGCAATTTTCTTAGATGGTTATCCACAGTTAATTACAACATTCTCTACATCAGATGTCTTACAAACACAGCTGATAATGAATAGATTTTTGGAAGGATATCTCCATTAAAAAAGTAGTAATAATTTAAAATATATATATATGTATTTTTTTTCAGCATAGTGCAAGTATGATAACTTTATGGGATAACTTGTTAAATATCTTATAAAATACTTCATAGCAATAAAGTTACTTCAGAGCTAGTGCAGGGGGGAAAAAAAGCACAACAGAAACACTTAAGAAGATGTGAATTCCAATTCCCTGAAGAGGCACTGATAGGTATTTTTAGATTTTCAACCTTCATGTTTTTGTTGAAGATCATTCCAAATTAACAATCCCATTATTTTATTAGGGATCAGTCACAGGCTGTTCTATGAGTCACTGGTCCACTTCTTTTAATGAAAACTATTTGCCTTGGATAAACATTTTTTTACTTCTTTGGAATTATTCCTGATTTTGAAAATTGTTACAAACTGATCTGAGAAAACTTCTCATGTAGCTTCCAGTCTGGGATTAATAGTTTCCAAGTCTGCTGATTTGAAAATGCTTATTTTTAGCAGGTGCTCTCTCACATCCATCCTTAGAAGTGATTATAATTTTTACTTGATTTTACCCCAATGTCACAAGGAACTGATACTTGCTGTTTCCAAATTTAAAAACATAGTTGTAAATGTAAGCAGAGTAAATCTGACATGCAGTCTTTACTACACTGTACACACTAAAAATAAATATGTTCCCTTTACCTAAAGTCACCCAAAATATCACAACTAAAGAAGATCCTGCCCTCAAAGTCTCCCAGCTGCTTTAAGGTACAGCATTTAAAAACATGTCCCACCCATTTATTTGCTGATGAGCTGGTTGTTTTTCTTCCTCATTAACACTTCCTATTCTTCTGTTTAGGAACTTCAAGGGAATGCTCCTTGTGTACCTGAGATTTAACATCAAGCAATTATGTACCAGTTAAAGATTCAGTACTGGAGCCTTCATATAGCTGTTCTCTCTTGCTGACTAGGCTGCGTCTTCTACTTGAATACATTTTAAGAATTTGCAGATGGTTAGCACTTGTTTAAGATATTTAGGAAAAAATTATTCTAGGACTAGATATCTCTGGGTTATTTTGCGGTGCTTTTTTTCATAATTTGTTGGGCAATTTCTAAAGCTGTTATAAAGAGCATAAAATGATAGATACTGCTGTAAATATTTATCTCAACTTCAAAATAATTCACTTAGACAATAATTACATAAGTGCTGAGTTCAACAAGCAGGTGAAACCAGATTGAAGGCCATGATATGATCTTTAAACAGGAGCCAAAACCTAGCTTGTGTCAATCGGAAATTTTTTGGCTGTGGCAGGGGGGTTGGAGATTCATGATCCTTGAGGTCCCTTCTAACCTGGGTCATTTTGTGATTAGGCACTGGTCTTCACCATCACCCCATAAACTACAGCTGAAATAGCACTTCTGTACGTTTTGAAAAAAGTATGACTTGAAGGGCAGTCAGCTATGAAGACTGTATGAAGTTCTGGCTACTGCTAGCTGCAGAACAGCAGCCTTCGCATTAGTCTATGTCAGAGAATCTGCAGTTGTTTGCAAATTTCAATTTGATCTTCAACCATAAATTGCTGTAAATCAAGTTTTAAAATGTGGGCATTTTCATGTCTCAAATTTACAACACCATCAAAATCAAATATATATTTTTAGGGCAATTATGTCAATAATCATAACCATTTTCCTTTTTAAAATTGATTATGCACACTTACTTAAATAGTCTGAGTGCTGGCACACCAATAGTATGGATAGTAGAGTCAATCCATGATCGAATTGGGGAAAAATCTGAATCAATAGCTGAAACATCAACCCAAATATGGTCTTCACCATTCTTCGCTACTTTAATTAAACAAAATTCTATCCCTTTTTTAACATTACAGTCATAATTCCTAATATTGTTAGGTGAATTAATTCTGTTAAGGCTAATTAATACCACCCAAAAATGTAATCCCATATGTTCTTCTGAAATACAGATATGTTATTGTTATAAATTTCCTTCTCAGAGAGTTTATTGAAGCAGAACAGAATTATTTTCAGTGAAATAGTTATGACAATCCAAAGTAGATTGTAGGCATGCTAGTTCAAGGTTGAAACACAGAAAAATCCCTACTTAGGTGAGGCAAATGGAATTCTATAAATTGGAGCAGCTCAAGGAACTGATGCCTGGGAGCAATCAATGCAGCTAGAGTGAGGAATCATTAGGAAATGGCATCAAAGGCTCAATCAGCAATGCAAAACTTTACAACTGCTGCCTAATCATGCAGCTGCCTTTTTCTATTTTATGCCAATTTTACCAACTAGAAGAACTTGAAATTCCCAATGCAGAAAAATGGTCTGAAATTCTGGGTATGTCCCGAACAGCTTGGTTTTGACAGGAATGCACAGCCCAGCACCAGAGTTCAGGAACAAAGATTCTTCCCTGCATGCCATGAACATTTCTACTGGTGGGCATGAAAGAGTGATGAAACCGCTACATGGGGGACCTCTCAGGTGACCAACTGTTGAAGAAGTTAGTCCAGAAAGCTATGAAGTTACCCAGAATTGAGGAAGAGATTCAATTACACATCTGAAAATTAATATATACATAACTTTGTACATACACAAGTTATATATACATAAGGGAAATATACGTACTTAAACCCATATAGATATATGGAGCACACACCAGAAATATCAGACTTCATACGAACTGCCATTGCTGTTGGGACCTTCATGTAAAACACAGCAAGAAGGGGAACACTTCTGCCTATTTTATGCAGTAATTTCAGAGGCTGGACAGTCACATTCAACCCCATCCTCTGACTAAATAAATTTAAACCAAATTCTCTTACGTCCCACTGCCGTGCTCTAGTCACCATGCACTAGCTGTTATAGTTAAGAATGCCTTCAACTTCTTCTGAAGTTGAGCCAAAATGCTCAATGAAAAATTCAGAATGTAAAAAGTGAGGCAACATTTGTTTACACAGAGTGAATAGAGTTCTGCAGGAACGGAGCATTCATCTGAGAGAAATAAGCTCTTTGTTCTGGCTTTGTAACTGTTTCTGTATCTTGTCTCAGAAGCAGTTTTTGTTGCTACTGAAATTCAGCTGTCACTCAATAATCCATGTGCTGCTGTTCTGTGAACTCGGTTTATAAAAACATTCTCTAGTAACAATAAAGCTAGACCACTCACTTTTTTCTCTCCACCTATCCCAATGGGACACCAGGCCTTCCTTTCCCTGACCTGTTCACCTTAGCAAGGATGAATGATAGAGTCTAAACCAGACCACAAAATGCTGGAATAAGTATACACAGGAATGCATCTATATTCAAAGCCAAAAGAAAATTGAAATGGCAATGTGAGCTAATGCAACATTATACTTACATGAATTGAAAAAAAAAAAAAAAAAAAAAAAAAAAAAAAAAAAAAACCAACCAACAAACAAAACAAGTAGAGTGCAGCAATGCCTGCAGTAATGCAATCTCTTCTTTCTCTGTTCATGGTACATATCTAACAACAGGAACAGTGCTAAATATATTCTATATGTTTTTAGCGAAAAATAAAATACTCTTTACACAGTATGCAACTGAAGCTGTATTGACACAGATGGCTCAGCCTATATGCCTACAAATTTCCCATGAACCTCTATCCCACAAAGGAATTAATCTCTTACTTTCTTGAAGAAGTTTCCTGGAACCATTAAAACCATAACCTGTGTACTGCATTGCAACTTTTCCATTTAGCTGTGCTACTTTCAAGTTCAGCAGAGAGACTGTGTTCTCTTCTGCCCATTCATCCCTGATGATGCTGCATCAAAAGAATAATAGAGCTGATTTAACCACATAGTTCCCAGCAGCTTCCAAAAGAAAAATCTCTAAACTTTTCAGCTAAGAGAAAGGCCCTTTTAGACTATTCAAATAAGGGTAGGGTTCATAGCTTAGGAGTAAAACATTGCAGGATCCTTCACTAAGAGCTGCTGAAAGGAAGGCAACATCATGACCTCAGTGACATTCTTTGATGAATCTGGGCTTTGAAACAGTAGCACAAAACTAGAAAGCTGTGAAACAGCCCACAGGTGTACTGTCAAAAAGTATTACAGTGTTTTAAGCTTCTTCTTTTTTTTATTTTTTTCGCTCTTCAAAATCAAAGCTGATTAAAAAAAACAAGGAGAGTACAATTCTTCTCTTTCTTTTTGTATTCTGATTTTGCTGGCAGGTAATTTTTTCAGTAGTAATGCTACGAGCCTGTATATTACAACACAGTAGAGAGGATGTAGAGTGTTGTAAGCCATAGAAATTCTGGGAAAAAAAAAAAAAAGAAAAAAAGAAAAAAAAAGAAAAGAAAAGAAAAAAAAAAAACCAACACAAAGCATTGAAAATGTTCATCCATAGGTTTAAACTATCTTATTTGGGTTTGATTTTCACAACCACTGTGCCCCCCCCCCCTTTAATATTTTCTTTGTGCTGGGATCTCTAGAGAAATCCTAATCTTTTCACCAAACTCCTGATCTCCAGCTCTCTTACTGCACTCATTTCTGCCAAATTTTATCCTTCAAAAAAAAAAAAAAAAGAAAAAAAAAATCAACAGGAACAATTTATTTTCTATTTCTTTCCTCTCAATTCCATTTAATGAAAACACTTCAGGGTGACCTGAAAATCTTCAACCACTGCTCCCATTAACATAAGTGGAACTTAACGGAATGGGAGAAGGGATGAAAAGCTGCACTTGGGGACAGGCCCAAGAATCAAGTCTGCTTAAAAAGGTAAAAGCACAACCTACAAGAAGAAACGCATTCTCTGCTTGGAATTAAGGGAGCGGGATAACTGAGGAAGAAGCTATATATACATAATAAAGAGATAAAAATAGAGTTGTTCCTCAGCAGACATTAATTGCCACAGCTTCATTACTTTTCAGTGCAACATAAAGTTTATCTGCTAGAAGTCTACTTCAATACGTGCATTTTCCATAGAGAATTATGATGGAAATCAGAGAGATCTACAAAATTAGTAATAATCTTTTAGCATTTTGAAGACCAAAAGTCAGCTGAAGGAAGAGAAATTCCACTAGGATTGTATCAGGAAAGGTCTAGTGTGATGCCCTGACATTAAATCCAGTTGAAAGGCTCTAAAACATAACATTTATTCCATCAGATAAGTTTCTGTTTATTTGGGGAATGTTTTTTAAATCTTTTAAAACCTCTTAACCCATTATACATTAATTAAAGTCCATGGGTCAAGAATCAGTTCACAGGCATTCTGTCCAGGCTATCTACACTGAAAGCTGACTGCTTAGCACTGGGGCCTATGATGATTCACTTCATACAAAGTGCTGCTCTTTGACATGTTGAAATGTACTCAGTTCCTTTGAATGGTACAGGTAGTAAATGTCAAAAATATATTAGCTGACCAGAAAGATTGAAAAAGAAACAAAACATTATTTCTGACATGCTGTATTTCTGATCCAGGAACATTTTGAGGTACTTCCACCTATTATAATTGAAAATCTTCCAAGTTTAAAGCTGCTTGGAAAAGAAGAAAACTGAATAGAAAAATCCTTAGATTAACAATTCATCTGTGAAATGTGCGCAGTCAAAAAATATAGACATCATAAAGGGCTACAACAATTCTCACAGTGGATGCCATGAAAATTGCTAATCTATGGGCTGAAAGGAAGCCAGAATTCCTGGAGCTGTATACTCAAGTTTTCAGATCAGCTGTCATCATACCATAAGGTAACAGAAGTCCACTATACCTAAAGTGCAGCTCTCTGAAAAAAAAAAAAAAACTTGGGAGGAACTACTTCCATTTTAAGAAGAATGTGTATCTATACATGTATAATTTCATATATATATAGTATACGTATATTATATATATAATATATTTTTTTTAAGTATAAGAACAGTTTTACTGTGCCACCCAAACCTCCATTTAGCCTAACTTCTTACCTGTTATGGGAATATACAACAATGCATAGAGTATTCCTGATACAACCTTCAACTGCAGCATTCTGAGCTGAAGGATACATCTAGATAATCAAGATTAATAACCAACTCGAATAACATCCAATTTCAAAAAATAATACGTGAAGAAGAGTCAACTTAAGTACTACATAGGCCTAATTCAGTGATTTTGGAACATACATATATATCTAAATGTTATTATGTTCATACCTGCTTTTTCCATAAGTTAACAACTTTATGCAGAAGTTCATCATCTTCCCTCTGTCCTGGATTGGTGATCAAAAAATCAATATCATGCCCAATCTTCTTGCCCCTGAAAGCAATGAATAACAAGAAGAAAAAAAGAGTTAAATTCTTGTTGAATTTCACACTACTTTCAAAGAGAATATATATATATATTTGGCTGCATTATAAAAAGAGAATCAAGTGACTGCAATGTTTCCTGAAACACAATCAAAATTGAATCTTCTCTTTCTTTTATCAGGTCTGTCATTTTTCTCTGTTAGCTAATAATCTAAAGTTCTGATGCATTTTCTCCGTTGTTCAATTAGATACTGCAGATCCAAGTAATGATGTTAAATCTCTTTCTTCCCCTTAAGTCTCAGAAATGAAGGTCTTAGTCATTGCTGAAAAGAAAAAAGTCATAATCAAAATACCACAATACATCTTAGGAGTCCAGTGCATTAAGAGCAGAAAATCTTTCCAGTATAAACAATGCAGTCTTAATTTTTTTTTTATTTATTTTTTTTTGCTTTTGACTGACTTTTTTAATGAATTTTTTTTTTTTTTTTTAATGACAGGCATAATCCCAAATATTTTAAATTTTTTCTCTTTTATGTATAATGTTGTGTTTTGCAGGGATTGGTTTGGGGTTGTTGTTGGTTTTTTTTATTATTCGATTGGCCTTTTGTTAGGGGGTTTTTCTGAGAACAATTCAGCCCTAATGTGACTAAAGCTTTTTATTAGACTTACTAGGTATTGAAAATTATATCCATATGCATAGTTTAATCATAAATGCTCTTAGAGAAAAATGATGTCATAATCTTTCTTTCCTACATTTAAATCTAGACATTCAACTTGCTTTTCATCTAGTTGCAAATTATTTTATTTCTAAATCATATTAAGATGTAGTTATCACTGGACAACAGGAAAAAAGCAAGATATTTTGATTGCTTCCTTTCAGAATCATAACATATTTGAGAAAGTTAAAAATTATCCTAGACTGCAAAACATCTGAGGCCTGCAGAACCAATACAAACTATTCACTGCATTTGAAATATTGCAATAAGAACCGCACACACGTTTATTTATTGGCTGTAACCAGGCCAGCCTGTGGAGAAAGCACAGTCATTTCTGTAGAGATGTTTCTGAAAACAGGTGCAGTAAGCAGGAGAAGGAGAAAACACCCAGAATCTGAAGTAGCAGCACTTGATTGTAGCACAGCTCCAAAATCTCCTGTGTTAGTTGGAAAGTCTATCTATCTCATGCAGCTATATCACAAGGGTACGTGATGTTATAGTTCGGGTATGTTTCAATTCAATTCTGTTCTCAGTATCAAAGAAGTTGTAAATTGTTACACAAGGAGTGAAAATTGGAACTATAAAAAAAAATATTTCTTCCTTTGTATTTAATGAAATGATTCCTTCTCTTGAAGTAGTGCAAAAACTGAACTTGATTTCTTAGACTTGCAAGTTTGTAGGAACAGAGCTGATTGGCAGATGTCTACTACCATTTGCGTGAGTAGAACAGTGTTAGCAGCAAGATATAAGGAAATGAAAACCTAGGTTTCACATTTGACAAGCAGTCTAACTCACTATAATGAAACTATTATGCCATGTCTGCAGCAAAGTCAAAACTGCTTAAACAGGTGGAAATGATTTCAAAAGAAGTTTCAAACAAAGCATCAGTCTAGCCTTAGAATCTGAACAGTAATTCAAACTCACGAATACTTAGTATTCCAAGTAAAAATTTCTGTGTTTCTGTAGGATGACACTCATTATCTCACAAATTACCATAATAATTCAAAATTCTTGCATAGCACTTTTTACTTCATGTCTCAAAATTTTGTTTTGTTTTGTTTTTTTCCAAATGGAAGAAACTTAATGTTCCTATCTTAGAGATGTAGAAAGTGACATAAGAAAACTTGCCTAAATTATTATAAAGAAAAATAATCAAAAAAACTTGGAAATGGGTGGAATCAGGAGTTGATTCCTGACTCTTCCTCTGGTAATCAACACATACTGAATGGATGCATATTTTAATTTTATCTACAGCTGCCTGCCTTAAGCTGGCTGTAATAAACCCAAGATGTTCAACCAGCCATTTATTTTGCATAACAGAGTGCATTTACTAATATGCTTGTTATGATTGAAGTTATAATATTTAGAACTGATATAAAAGCATGCAATATATAATTAATGATACTGTCAACCATATTTCAGCTTCTCTTTGAAATGGTTCTTATTGGGTGAATTTCGAACTGAATTTGTTGGCTGTTATTGTAACATTTATTCAGATCTCCACTAGTGCCACTTGCAACTTTTTTTTTATTATTCCAAATAAATCTATCACCTTCCTTGCAATAGAAAAGCAATATGGTAAATTCATAAGCTGTATAATATATACTACTCATGGCTCATAAGTCATGTAGAAAAGTGCATGTTGGTCCAGTCCTTCATTCCGATGAATTTGAAGGGAACATGGTCATTGATTACAGAAGAGCAGAGCCTTTCCTCGCATATACATATATATTTACACACAGTATAAGATCAGATAGAGACAGGTTATTCTGTCCAAGCTCAAAGAGAATATGTATATGTTTATCAACAATTATCTCCATTTACATGCCAACAGTTTTACTAAAGATGAAGCAAACTGTATACCCTGATATAATAAAGAACTCGAGTTAAAAACTGTGGTGCAGATATCTGATTCTCAAATCAGATTTGAAACCCCGGAATTAATCATCCAATTGAGTGCCTCAGAGATGAAACGTATATCTCTTGTTCATTACCAAAGTTCAAGAGGAATGACATGGGCCTCAGTCTTTTCAATCCTCACCATATTCAGGAAAGCAGGTTCCTTACACAGAGTTATAAATTGTCTCTGCCATGACACACCATAACCAAGGATATTAAATACGTATCCTTCACTTAGAAATGAAAACATTTTGCTTGAAAAACAAGCATCAAAATGATGCTGTGACCACCTATTTTTATCTTGTATTCAGTAGCCCATTGATTGATACGCCGATCCCTCTTCTTTTATTGACTTATTTATCTCAGTTAGGAATACTGGCAATCTTCCTGCTTTACAGGAGGCAGCTCCTCAGTCATCTCGCCTGCCTCCCACAGTGGTACATTTCCATGACCACAGTTCAGAAACAGTGTTTGAGTCCATGCCAATGTCCACAGGTTATTTACTTACTTGTTATTAGCTCTTGGATTAAAAGCACTCATCCGGGAAGAAGAACACTCAGTCTGATGCTTTCATAGCTAGGTTATTTGTCATCGAGTGAGCCTTAAATATGAAATGCAGAGCCAGTGTTTGGTGCAGGGAGGAAAGTCCTAGGAGTTCTCCTCTCTAAATGGGCATTCCAACCAGTACACTGTATCACAGTTTTTCTGGCTCTACAAATCTTCTATTGTATATTGCTAAGTGCCATGAATCCATGCATGCTAGTGGTTTTAGCACACTAATGGATAGTCAGAGATTGAGAGATATGATTCTGGCAAGTCAGTAAGTACTCTAACCACAAGGCTTTTATATAAGAGTTGAATTATATTATTTAACGAAATTGTTCAGATCCCTTTATATAATCTTTCTTCTTATATTTAAATCTAAGCCTAAATCCTTTTCAGGATGAAGCTATGTAAGAAAACTCCCACCTTGAAGAACTGAGCCTGCAGCTCAGTTTTTGTCCTAATCATCTGTTCAAGCCTGACAACTACAAAAGACAGAACACTTTATTTAGTATGTTCAATTCTGGGCTGACTAAACTTTTATAAAGTTAATGATTGACTGCAATGGAACACTTACTTTTAAAATTGTTGGAATTTTCTTTTTTTAATTTTTTAATACAAAATCTAGATTCCAAATCATTAAATAATATGAATTAAATTTAAATATATGGATCAAAAGATAGTATGGTAAGGATAATCACATTGTCCTGTTCTATAATTTCAACTTAAGCAAGATTCAATATTTTGGAGTACTCTGTATACAGAGCATTTTGAAACCTCAGGACATTCTATAACAGGTAACCCATATCAATGGCAATTCTGATAATCTGGTTTTAGCTGACGAGAGACAGACTGACATTTCTCTACCACTAACAGAACTTTCCTATTGGAGGAGCGTAAAGCACCTTTTATACAGTAATGAGTTATGTTTCAAAACTGAAAATCAGTTAGCAAGCACTGAGCTTATAAAGTGTTCAAGTGGATACAGAAGATGCTTTATTTTCATGTGTTCTTGCCTTAGGTAAAACTGCAATCTTTTCTTAACCTTGCAAGTCCTTGAAGCATGTGAAGTACAAAATGAACATCAACAGTCTATCTTCATAACTGCATTTCATGCTCAGTATTTTCTTGAAAACATAAGCATCAAAGAAAAATCACAGGCAGCGAAATTCCCCTGGATGGATCTGTCATAACACTGACTTATTATTACCTTTACTATTGATGCTATGTTAAGCATAGAAATATTACTTCACAGTGTTGTCACAATAGGCTAGGCCTTCCCTGCAAAATAAGGAAAGGAATTTCTTCTTTGAAATGTTGCAGCCTTAGTCCTACATTTGTACCTCCACTTTCTGTATCTGCTCCCTTCAGTTGTGAAGACCATCTGCAGTAGCAGCATATTTCTTCAACTGTGGTCAGATGGTACCTCCGATATCTACTGTATTCACAGCATATACAGACAGGCCTGTAACTTCCAGCTAAACTTGCTACGCAATAGTTACCCTTTACTGTTATATTCTGTCCTCAGTTTTCTGTCAGATATCATATTTATCATATTGACCGACAGTATGTTTTTCCTCTTTTTTTGGCCACAACACAGGTAATTTATTTTTCAAATATTTTGTGCTCTATTACTACGATCTCACTCTTGTCTATTTGCTTGGAGCCCATGGAAATGCCAAGGAAGGATACTCACATATAGATACCTCTTTCACAACTCTTTAAAATGTACCTGCTTACTTTCAAGTTCCTAGAAGTGCAGTCTGATAGACATAAGAATTTTCTCTCGTTTGATAATCCAACCGTAACCTTGCTGTGGAATGAACCTATTCTCAGGTTGAATGATTTACCT